GAAAAACGCCGTTAAAGTTTTGCGATGCCGACGGAGCGCTGCGTACTGCTTCACGCGCTACGCTCTTACGGGCAGGAGAATTCGAATTGACGCGCCGGACAAAGTGGGCTGTAATCTAGTGACCATAAGGGATTTTTTGAGACCAAAATATTTTTTTCCATTTTTTGAGCCCACTACACTAGGATGCCCCCTTAAGAGGATCGTTTGCGCCCTTCTGAAACGGGTTTGCTTTATATCATTTCGCCTTCTTAAAGCGCTGATCAGGGAAATAGAGCGAAATTTTGGGGTGGGCGGATTCCCGCTGCTTATTTGAATCGAAGTATATTAGCCTCGCCAAGGGTATCTAGACTACGGTCTTCTAGGTCAGCTCGGCTCGACACGACTCGGCACCGTCGGCTCCGTCGGCACACGGCCACACGGCTAGCTGACGGCTGACAACAAACGACAACAATTTTCAGGCAGCGAGACTTGCAGGTTATGTTATGGCGCTCGGTAAGAGAAACAAATGTTTTAAGATGATGGCTGCGCTTGTCTCTGATAGGAGGACAGCGCGAGTGATGGAAAAGGGTGTCAACTTGTTCGTTAGTCTTTGTTTTTTTCTCTAAATCTATAAGTTTCATAAGTAAGTACCGGCATTTCTTTGCAAGCGCTTCGTTTGTACGCAACGAGTCGAGCAGTTTAAATGCAATGCAGAGGTTCCGCTTGTAAGTTAATTCAAATTTCAGCGGATGCCATCATTTTTATTTATTGTAAAATTCATTACGTCAGTAAATCTTTTCCTGTGGATGTTGCGAAACCGAGCCAAGCAACCGAAGGCTTGCATGCCGAGCTTCGGCGGCCGAGGTTGAGCCGAGCCGAGCCGATCCGAGCGCCGAGCCGAGCCGAGCCGAGCCGAGCCGAGCTATGAAGCCACACGCAGCGAGGCTACTGCGATTCAAACTGGCGGCGCGAATATCCTACGTCGAATCTTGAGAGAAGGCGTCCCTTTCTCGAGGTCGAACGCCGATTGCCACCTCTTCTAACCTGAGCTTTTCTCCATGCAGGCGCCTCCCTTGCACCAGGACCCTCCGAGGCACCCCGCTACCCCAAGCGAGCCAGTCGGGGAACCAGCACGGAGCCCGAGCTACAGGACAGCGACGACCTGCTCTGTAAGTAGTAGAGTTGTGAGTCGGGCCGGTGAAGCGCGTTATTCGGCGACACGAGACATAACTTTTTGTCCTTGTGTTTCAGTCTGCGATGACTGCCAGAAGGACTGGGCAGGGGACTGCCCGAAACACGGACCGCTGCTGGTCATTGCGGACACCGAGGTATGTACTCGACGGAAGTGGGGCAGTGTTATGAGTTCAGAACTGTGTGTAATGTTTGCGCTTCATGTACACAGGTCCCCTTGGGCCACCCCGAGAGAGCGCTCCTCACGGCGCCGACCCAGCTCGCGGTGGAGCTCAGCAAGGTCCCCGGCGAGTCGCGGGGCGTCTGGACCTGGGAGGCGGTGCCCAGGAGGGCGCGCTTCGGGCCGTTCG